GTCAATCTTAGCCGAGCAGGTAGGCTCTGGCTCTGCATTGGAACAATTAGTTATATGTAGCACAGTCGGTGCCTGAAAGTAGATCGACATGACCATTGTCCGCCTCTTTCTCAACACAGCGTACCAATACTTATACATATCACCATGATGACAGAGTTTCGAGGGCTCCACTATAATTGGTTCATCCCTCCTCTGGGTCGCAAGCGTACTTGGAGAATGCCCAATAACAAAGCCCAAGATGTCTTGCTTACTGGCGGGCCGATTGGACAATGCTTGACACAACCTTATGTGCACCTGAGCATCGACAAGTGCATAACTGTTGATTCTATGCTGATCTTTACCTCCTCTCAGGTTAATCTTTCTCTGACGAAGTTGATCTCCAAATCCGGGCTACAATCTCTCTCTTCCCTTGTACACATAATACGCCAACACAATCTCCCACCGGAATGCATAAAATACAGTCATACTTCAAGATGCACATGATACACATCTTTGTCAAAGCAATCGAGTAACAATCTACCAGTACGATGCAGGTCCATGTATGCCGTGGAGAAGTACGGTAGCTAGGGTACACGACCTGCACGGCCGACTTCGGGGCCCACCGTCGGCGCCCTATCATTGGATCCCCAACTCCAGCTTATCTCGCATCCTATGTTTACCTCATCGAAACCTCCAACACCATCTCCATCTCGATGCGCCAAAAGCCTCCACGCCCAGCGCCCATATGCATACATATGACGATCCCCACGCGACCGTTTTGCACATGTCAGCCACTAAGCGTTGAGATGAGAAAAACTTCCGGCTCGCAATGGTAGGGCTCAGGCCGCCGCTGGAGTGGGGTCCAGGGTTAGTGACAGTACAGTTACCTGGGCGCGTTCCCTTATCAGCATAAGCGAAGCCATCCCGCAAGAAAACCCCAACCAGCTCAGAAGCTGAGGGGAAGGAAATCCGCGATAAGGCGATGAATCGACGAACCAAGCTGCAAAGTTGGGGGTCCGGCCTAGAATGGTTTGCAGCACAAGCACAGCTCTTAGTCCTACCCTAGCTGCTGGACGTCTAATCTTTGGCCAATCATGTCTCTGTATCGAATCTATGAACGTGAATTTTGTATGTGTGTGTCTGCAGATGCTGGAGATAGCACCGTTTGGTACTAATGGATTTTTTTCACGGATACTTAGTGCCGATGTCGACGTGATGGAAATATAGATGCCCTCGATCGCCCATTGAGACAGCAAAAAGTTCAGAAGCGCCTTGGACCTCAATTCTCATACTCCACAACATAGCTCGACATGGCTGGTGGTGGTACACCTACTGGGCCCTCGGCTTCCCCTCTGGGTCAGGCTTGGGGCTATGGCATCGTTCTTGGTATCGGTTTCCTCTTTGCACTTGGCATGGTAAGCCCTTCCTTCCATGCAGTATTTGGGTAGCGTGTGCTGACAGCTTCAAGGTCTTCACTACCTGGGTCCTCAAACGATACAACAATGAATTGCAAACTTCCGAGATGTTCTCGACTGCCGGACGTACTGTGAAATCTGGTCTTGTAGCTTCCGCGGTTGTGTCATCTTGGACATGGGCAGCTACGCTTTTGCAAAGTTCCTCTGTCGCATTTCGCTATGGTAAGCGACGAAGCTGGTCACGCTGGCAAGACAAAAGCTAACAGTTTCACAGGTGTTTCTGGGCCCCTCTGGTATGCTGCCGGAGCTACTGTCCAGATTCTGTTGTTCGCTACCGTTGCCATTGAGCTCAAGAGACGAGCACCAAATGCTCATGTAAGCAATTGCACTCATTTACGCCAACACATATATGCTAAACATGTATCAGACATTCCTCGAGGCCGTCCGCGCTCGCTATGGAAAGGCAACTCATTTCGTCTACATTGCCTTTGGCCTATTCACAAACATCCTTGTTACAGCCATGTTGCTCACTGGTGGATCCGCCGTCATCAGCTCTTTGACTGGAGTGCCCACGGCAGCAGCCTGTTTTCTTCTTCCCCTCGGTGTCGTTGTGTACACCATGTTTGGCGGAATCAAGGCTACTTTCCTTACCGACTACGTTCATACTGTCATTCTGCTCATCATCCTTCTCATCTTTGCTTTCACAACCTACGCAACTGGTGATAGGCTTGGATCGCCGGGAGCCGTTTACGATCGCCTGCAGGAGCTCTCAGCCACGACACCCGTGCCCGGAAATGCTGGTGGAAGCTATCTGACGATGAGGAGCAAGGACGGTGCCATTTTCTTCGTGATTAACATCATTGGAAACTTTGGCACTGTCTTTATGGACAACGGCTGTAGGCTTTTCCAAAGTAATTTCCTGTGTGCAGAAGCTAATTCGTGACAGACTACAACAAGGCTATTGCTGCATCTCCGGTCCACGCACTTCCCGGATACATCATCGGTGGTCTTTCTTGGTTTGCCATTCCCGTGAGTTTCTCGCAAAATTTCTTAGTGAATATTCATTGACATCTTACAGTGGCTCTGCGCAACTACCATGGGTCTCGCGGCCCTCGCACTCCAAAGCACAGAATACTTCCCCACGTACCCTGCGGTTATGGACGAAGCATCCATCAGCGCCGGACTCACCCTTCCATATGCAGCAGTTGCTCTCCTCGGATCCGGCGGTGCCGTCGCAACTCTCCTGATTGTTTTCATGGCTGTTACTTCTGCCTTTTCCGCCCAGCTCATCGCAGTGTCCAGTATCTTGACATATGATGTTTATGGAACTTACATAAACACGAATGCGAGCGGCCGCCGTCTCGTGTACACATCTCACGTATGTGTTTGTGGATTTGGATTGGCTATGGCTGGATTCTCAACAGGACTGTGGTATGCAGGTATCAGGTGAGTAATACCCACCCCGATTCTACGACCAGAAATTTGCTAACATTAACAAGCATGGGATGGCTGTACGTATTCATGGGCGTCATAATCTCATCTGCCGTTCTCCCTGCCACTCTCACCCTCATGTGGAAGGGCCAGAATAAATGGGCGGCCACTCTCTCTCCAGTCCTAGGATTATGCTGCAGCATCACCGCCTGGCTTGTAACCACTTCCAAACTAAACGACGGTGTCATCACTGTAGCCACTTCTGGCGCCAACAACCCTATGTTGGCCGGTAACGTCGTCGCCCTACTATCCCCCGTAATCTTTATCCCCGTCCTCACCCTGATTTTTGGAGTTGGTAAGTTCCTCTTTTCCTCACAGACACCGATATACCCGCTAACTCAACGCCAAAAGACAACTACGATTGGGTCTCAATGAAGAACATCCGTCTAGTGGACGACTCAGACGTCACAGCAGCCGCACACTTGGATATCGAAGCCGTACACGGCCGACACGCCGCTCTATCCCCCGAAGCCGAAGCTGAAGAGCAAAGAAAGCTGTTCCGCGCCTCGAAAATCGCAAAAATCACCACCGCAATAATGACTTTGATTCTCCTCGTCCTCTGGCCTATGCCGCTTTACGGCACTGGCTACATCTTCAGCAAAGCCTTCTTCTCCGGCTGGGTCGTCGTCGGTATCATCTGGCTCCTGTGCTCTACGATGGCTGTGGGAGTTTATCCGCTGTGGGAAGGTCGCCAGAGTCTCGTACGCAACTTTGGTGGCATGTGGCGCGATGTTACGGGTAAGCCACGTCGGGCGGGTCCTGTGACAGTGGTGGAAGGGGAGAAGACGGCCGAGTCTGGTGCGCAGACGCCTACAAAGGAAGCGGAGGCTAAGTCGTTGGAGAAGTGAAGTGGGAGAGGTGGTAATTTGTGTGTATGGTTTTGTTTGGAAATACCCCCGATTTTCGAGTCATGGATGTGCCGACTTGCGGATTCAGTCTTTGGTTAGAAATTATATCATTTTGGATATAGAAATACATGATATTGCACTTTGCTTACTGGGTTACATCCTACCCGGATCAATCTCCCAACCCGGAACTTCACCCGCCTAGTTGTCCAAGATATGCGAAAGAAATATCCCTGAGACCTCATACCGGTGTTATGAGTCTAAGTCATTCATGATGGTCTGCGTGAAGATTGTTTCGCCATAACTAGTCTGTCTTATGACACTCTGCACGCGTTGCGCCAAGGAGACGCAAAGTTCTTGGGTTACAGTGAACATATGCCACATCCAATAGATTTCCACCTTGACAGTTCAGACCTAGAAGGTCTACTTCTAAGTCTGGTCCGTTTAGTAAGCATTCTACCGCAACAACGTGGTTTCACAAAATAGCTTCGCTAAGTGGTCGCCTGTTCGTGGAGTATCACATAGCGAGGCAGCTCAAAACACGATTCTCTTGAGGCGCATGAAATGCCAGAAGAAGGAAAAATTTAAAATAGCCTACTAGAGCTCCATAAATAAGACCGCGCAGTTTCGCCGGGGAGCCAACGGACTGAACCTTTCCCCTCTCTGCCCGCCAATTTTGCTTATCCCATTCAAGCTTTCCCTTTCCCCACCCAAGCTACCCCAGCCTTCTCCCCATACTATTCTCTTTTCGCCGGGGCTAACCTTCCCCGCTCTCCATTTATTCCGTAGACCCGGTAAATACGATACGAACACCAGGAGTATCTAATTCCCGTGCCTCATCGACCGGACGGAAGAAAAAATGATGGCTATTAAAGCACGGACGCGTGCATGTCACTGACAACATGGGATATTTGGTTTCACTTCCAACTCGGCCCTTTGTCTATCTCATGGAATTCTGGTGAGAGGCGATGAAAGGGAATTTTATTCCTCATCAAGTCCTAGGAACATTGGCAGTAGCGATATAATGTGAGTTGTAGAGTCTTGATGTTGCGATGGAGGGGAGATGAGCAATTCCCGCTTGAAGACAAGGTTCGGTCTATATATGCACCGAAAAAAAGAGCAGTAGTAAAATGATCACTATGAATAGCACGCTTGATTCTTGCATCTCAATTCCTCCAATCTTGTACATAAGCATATTTTCCTAATAAAAGATTAATTCCTTCGCGTCGCCCAATTCCCCACCCCTTCACCACCTCTCGCGGTGCCCGCAATGAAGTCTCTCCTCCTCCCTCTTCTCTGCGGCGCAGGCGCAGGCGTAGTAGCATCAGCACACTCGCAACACCCCAGCGCCCCCCAACAACAATCCAAAAGCTTCTTCCGCCAAATCGGAAATTCAACATGGATTCTAGGAAACTCGCTCTGGAACGTAACGCAAAACGCACAGTATGCGAATAAATTAATGTATAAAGGAAAAGATCGTGTGGGCGAAGCCGTGGGACATTATGTTAGTTACAGTACGTCCTCATAATCCCCTCTACTTAAACCTCCCCCCTTCCCCCCCCCCCATGAGAATCCCGTGATTATTCTAACAAACTCCTTCCCCATTAAAGACGGCGCAGCATCCGACCTCCGCTGGACCACCGCCTCGATCGCCTCTTCGGGCCCAAACTGGCTCGACATCCGCTTCAGCGCCACAGAAGGCGATTTCCACTGGGTCCTCCACGACGACCTGGCGGGTGCATACCAATACTTCGTCAACCGCGCTCTGCCCACTTTAGGTGAATTCCGCACCTTGTGGCGCCTCTCCAACACCTCCTTCCCTTCGGCTTCCACAAACGTGAAATCCGGGGCCTTGCCCCCGTTCTCGGCGTACCAGAGCGCTACGAATGTGCAGGACGAGACGTGGCAGCAAAGCGATGGCACGTTTTTGACGAAATACGACTGGGCTGCTTTTCTGCGCGAGCAGACGGCGTATGGGGTTTGGGGGGAGGAGGTGGGGAGTTGGTATTTGCATCCTGGAAAGGAGTATTTGAATGGAGATCACTTGAAGCAGGAGTTGATGGTGCATCGGGAGTCAAAGACGGGGGATACGGTGCAGTTGAATATGCTGCATGGGACGCATTATCAAGCTTCATCACGGGATTCATTTGCCACAGGGGAAGGTGATGCTAGGATTTGGGGGCCGTGGCTGTGGTATTTGAATGATGGGAGTCGACAAGATGCTGCGAAGCGGTGGGAAAGAGAGGAGAGAGAGTGGCCGTATGCGTGGTTCAACAATACAGCATATCAGTCTCGAGGCGCGGTTCAAGGAAAGTTGCTGCTGAGTGATGGACGGCCTGCGGCTGGTGCAGCAGTGTTTCTAGGGGACAACCGCAACGAGACGGTGTCGACGCTGGATCAGGGACAGAACTATTACTACACGGCCTACGCGGATGATACGGGCGCGTTCCGTATACGTGACGTACGATCGGGCACGTATGCGTTGTATGCGTGGGGAAACGGCAGTCCGATTGCAGATGTCATAACGAACTTTACGCACAACGATGTCGAAATTGTAAAGGAGAAGACGACAATGTTACCGTCACTTACCTGGCCCGTTACGAACAAAACAAAACGCATCTTTCAAATCGGAGATTTCGACCGCAAAACAGATGGATTCTATCTAGCAGACGGGGCGATTCCAGTCCAGCACGCTCGCATAGATAAATGCCCCGCCAATCTCACGTACACCGTCGGTACCAGCACACCATCAAAGGATTGGTGTTTTGGCCAATCTAAACTGGGGACTTGGTCGGTTTCCTTTTCGGCCTTCTCTGCCAATAGTACTGCTGCTAGACTTGTTGTATCTCTTGCCGGCTTTTCCCAAGGATCCAGCGCTGACATTTTGCTCAACGAGGCTAAAATCGGTAATATCACCAGTGCCAGCTTGGCTAATAGCCAGGATACGTATCGTGGTGCTACGAGGGCCGGGGAGTGGAGACGCTTAGAGTTTGGAGTTCCGCGGGGGCTTCTCAAAGAAGGGCAGAATAGGCTAGACGTCAGGGTTACTAGAAGCACGCAGTGGAGGGGATGGCTGTGGGATAGTCTGGTTTTGGAAGCTGTGTAGGATGTGGGGCACTGACAACGTCCATGCATTGCTCCTTGCATCTCATGTAGGTGTCAACATGGCTTCATCACAAAAAGTAAACCAACCAATAGTAAGAAGACTAAAATCTTTTCATTCCCGTTCCCCGCGCAATGCAAATGTATTTGTTTTCCTGTCCATACCTATTCCATGCACCCTAACCGGTCATTGAGAAGCAAAAAAAAGAAGGGAGAATATTCAAATCAAGTATACGCTGAGTGTGTATAAATACATAGAAGAGAGGCAAGACGAAATGAATGTGTCCGGATCAACAACGATCCATTTCAGCCATCAATCCAAACAGGACAAACAGCGCAAAAACTGATTAGAACAGAAGGCAAGTCCGTATTGTCGAAATGCAAAAAAACAGGGCTTCGTAAAAAAAAAAAACACCATCGCTAAAGTGCAGGGCCGTACGCTCAAAGATTGACATTCGCTGTAGAAGAAACGCGTACAGCCTTTTCAAAGGGCTGCTGGGGTGGCGTGCAAATGCAACGCAGAAGTAACAAGGAAATTCGTAAAGGCTGTGAAGCCGAGATTGGCAACGTAATCATTGATGTACAGTTGCCGAATTGGGACAAATCTATAGGGTCGTAATGTCATGTTTAGAAGGGTATCGGTTTCTTTTGGAAGATTGAATCGGTGCAACCACCGAATCGCAGAGCTTTGTGATACAGAATGCAAGTATGTGCTATTGGGGGTTCCAGAGCGGTAGTGCTCTGCGGTCATAACGTCCCCAGGGCTTTGTTGGTACAGGTGGTAAAATCCTCCTCTTTCCAAGGCCCTTCAGAGCGGCGGGCTTTTTCTTCTTTTCGACGTCTGGATCGTAGTAGTGAGAGGCTGTGACCGGAACCTTGAACTCCTGTGTACTCAGGGGAAGTGTGTATTTGAAATTGCCTCTGACAATCAGTTCAAAAGGATGTTGGAGGACTTCTTCCCAGCGCTCGCTTCCACCTGCTTCGGTCTTGTTTCCTGGATGCCCTAATCGAAGTTCGCCAATGGACTCTGCGCGATGCCGTTGAAAGAACGAGCCTTCAAAAGTCAAGGGCGAGTCAAAACGGTTAACGCGGCCAAGTAACATGGTGCGAGGCTCGCCTTCAATGGGATCGGTTCCTTCGTCAACTCCGGTGGTACGGACAACAGTGTCCACATGGTGGGACTGGTCTTGCACGGGTTGCCATTTCTCCAAGTCGTCAGGCGACTCGTTCTCAGGTGGCCCGTTGCCATGTTCACGCCACCATGTATCGGAGCCGACATGCTTGCTCTTAGCAAACACGGAAACTTCCATATCGGCAACAGTGACTCCAATGATATTTGGATTGACTGCGTCGACAATGAGATCCAGAATAACTTCCTCTTGACTTGCGACGACGTTTTGAATGTCGCGTACCACAAGACTTGTGAGAGGCTTCGTAGTCGCAAAGACAAGTCCAACGGCGCAAAAGACGACAACCAAGAGCAGGATAGAAAGGACCAAGCATCCAGCAAAGCGTCGGCACCATCCGCCGTCGCGGTGATGCCGGCGTTCCAGGTGGCGTACATTGGCGCTATTCCTTTGGCGGGGGGTCCGGGCTCGTGGGCTTCGGCCAGAGATGAGTGGCGTGCGTTCGTCATCGGCCGCATTCTCAGCGTCAATGTCGTATGCAGTTGAGTACTCTCCATTCTTCTTGGAGCCATTGCTGTGTCCGTTGCCAACACTGAAGGTGTGGAAGCGAGGGCTATTTGGTTGCGATGCGTTTCTCGAGGTCGGTCCACGATTGCGCGAAGACTGAGGCATCGACGAGTCACTGTCCATGACCAAGTGGTTTAATCCACCTCGGCCCTGGCTATATCTACCGCCGATGTGGTGGTGGTGACTGCCTCCGCCAGCCCGCCCAGAGCCTGAGCGGACGGTGCCTTCGCCTCGATCGTCTCCATCGATACTAGGATATACATGCGGATTAGTGAATTTAAATTTAGTGCTACTCTTCTTGCTTGGATGCTTTTGATTATCGCGGAACTGAAGTTGTGGGTTGGTGAGGCTTGCTAGTGATGTCATGCTTGGCGTGCGTGAATGGTGTCCCCGGCTGCGGTGAGGCGGGTCGGGAGGATTCGACTCGTAGATGAAGGTAGCATCAGAGTCTGAGGAGTCGGCCTCATCGACTGCACTGGCCACCTTTTGTTCGAAGACGTCCGCCTTGGAGGAAGCTGTGCGGTAGCTGGCGTTAGTGCTTGAATAAAAATAGCTGAGATGGGGATGACGAGAAGACGAAGACATGCGCATTTCCGGGCTTGGGGGAGACAAGGCCAACAGAGAGCGACGATCATCGTACGAACGGTATGAGATGGGGCTGCCTAGAGACGAGGGTGTGTTGGAGAGCACACCAACGTCGGGCCGAGTGTGGGTATGGTGAGGGTACGAGATGTGTTGCAACCTACCAGTGCCAGCATTGATGGACGCGGCTTTTCGCTTTGGGGGCTTCTTCTCCTTCTTTGGACGTATGGTTTCATTGCTGGGCTTCAGACGAATGCCACCGTCGGCACGACCTGAGGCGGAGCGGTCCTGGTTCACAATCGACGCCTGTGCAACCGAGGGCACGGTCTCGGTTTCGACCGTCATGTTGCGTAGCGGCGGATCGCGTGCGCGTGTTGACATGGAGGACAGCGACGGCTTTGCAGAGACAGAGTGCTGTGGCCGCTGGGCAAAGGTCGAGCGCTGCTCCTGCATCTTGCCCTTCTTGGCGCTTTTTGACGCGCTGTCACTGCCGCTTTCCGTGTGCTTGGAGTAGTCGTGCTTGAAGGAGTCGTGCTTTGAGCTGAGGTCTTCAGTGACTTTAGACGAGTTGACGTCATTTCGATCCGTATCGGATTTGTGGGCGTTGAGCGAAGAAACAAAGCTAGAATGCGTTAACAAAGTTTGCGGATGGTAACGGAAATTGGGTCCGCGATTAGTCTAACGTGCGTCGCGATGACAAACAGTGGGGCCGTTGCGGGGAAAAGCGTACCTTTGCGGCTCTAGACCATGAAATCCGGATGTGGCAGGCAAGCTAGACTCTTGGACGGTTTCGAGCTTGGTAGGCTGGCCGCTTGATCCGCGGACAGGGGGGGCCTTTATGGTCTGCGTCGGCTCATCTGGCTCGCTCGCAATGGGGTGCTCGGGTACGGCCAGACGGGGCGGCGAGGCGGGCGACGAGCTCTGGACGATGATGGCAGGCGTCGACTGCGTCTCTGGCCTCTTGATTTGCGAGCGCAGTGAGTTTCTCCGAGGGTGCGAGAACCTGTCGTCAGAGGGCGGTGGTGATCTGAGCCGCGGCGAGATGGGCCAATGGGGTGCTGCGTCGGCCGAGGCAGACTTGGACGGGGCGGGCTTGATAGAACGCGGTACGCGTGCGGCGTCGGGCGTGGAGGATTGTGTTGCGGAAGTGGTCTCTGGTATGCTTGTGGCCGAGTGAGCGCGCTGCACTGGGCCGGTGGGCGAGGGGCCAGGTGTGGTCGAGTTTGCGAGACTCGACATTCGGCTGGGGCTCGCGTCGGTGCTGCTCTTGCGTGAGCGGAAGCCAGGCCTCACGCCCGAGCCGGCAGCAGCTACATTACGCTGGTAAGGGCGGGCAGGCGAGGCTTCCCGTGAGGAGAGTGGTGACGACGACGAGATGGACGGGTTGAGAGGGCGCTGGCCCGCCAGCGTATGTTGCCGCATCGAGGGCGTTGAGGAGGTGCTGTTGGCAGCAGCAGTAGTAGCAGCAGCAGCAGCAGTGGCAGTGGCAGTGGCAGTGGCAGCGGCAGTAGCAGGAGCGGTGGCGGCAGCGGTAGAGACAGAGACAGACGTATTGCTGGCGGGGTTGCTGTGGGGCGCGGTGGGCACAGTGGATGCAGCGGGTGGGTTCTGGTGGTGGTGGTTTGGGAGTTGCAGTGGCTGCTGGCGTGGTGAATGCTGCGTCGACGACGACGACGTGGAGGCGGAAGCGGAAGCGGGTTCAGCAGTCTCGAGGACGCCGGAGATGGAGTGGAAGGCGTCGTCGTCTGCAGCAAGTAGAGAGTCGGTGTCGGTATCGGTCATGATGGTTGTGATCGAGGACGTGCTTTTGCTTCAATGGGCAATAGCACCCGTGGCATCCTGATGCTGAGCTGGCTGGAGCGCGTCACTCGCTGGCGACAGTGGACTGGGGCCTGGATAGCAGCGAGGCCCGGGTTCAATGGGCGGTCAAAGCAGGCGAGGCGGATGGAACAGGACAGACGGCGTACGCGGCGCGCAGTCGTTGGACAAGAGCGCCGCAGCGCCGGCTCTCTTTTCTTGCAGTCGGGAGCAGGCAGGGCAAATGGGGCGTGCAGACGGAGGGCGGAGGGCGGATGGCGGATGCGGATGGATGGGTGAATGCGACTGGGACGCTGCTGCTGGTGCCAACGCCCACGCCAGATCCAGGCACGAACCGAAACCTGCCAGCGCATCGCCCCCAGCCCGCCCTCGATTACTACTACTACTGCTGCTGCTGCTGCTACATAGTACATGCTACATACATGGACACGCGCATACGCGTATCTGCTCCCAATCGACTATATAACAAGAATAATAATCTCCCGCCACTGCCCTGTCAGCTGAGATCAGCCCGTCCGCCCATCCGTACGCCCACACGGGAGGGTGCGAGTGCGAGTGCGAGTGGGAGCAGCTTCTGTCACTGCATGGTCGCCAGAGGCCCATAGCAATACCAACCTTCGCCCCCTCGCGCTCACCCACGGTAAAGGGCAGAGAAAAAAAGCAGGCATTGCGAGCGCTCTGGCAGTTCGAGTGGCGGGCGGCCAGACACACGGTACGTCAGGCTCGCTAGTGCGCACTCAGCACCTCTCCATGGCTCTAGCCTGCACACAGCACCACACATCCAGACATAGTCGTATGTACATACGAGACGCTGCATGCAACAACGACGACTGAGACGCCTCCACGTGCGGGCATCCCCACTCCCTTGCCCACGCATCAAACCAAGTCTCTGCAGTCTGACACTCTGCTCGCTGCCGCTGCGTGCCCGAGGGCCGGCTCGTCCTCACCTCAGACGGGCGCTGCATCTGGGCGAATCAGCTCCCCTCGCCTTCGCTCGTGTGCGGTACTACCACACTTTGCTCGCCCTCGGAACCACGACAGGCAACAAAAGCAGCGTGCGCTAGCCTCGACCAAACTCTGCCTCTTCCTCTGCCCTCCGTGTCCATGGCCTGCCTTGCAAACCATGGTTTGCTCGTCGGAGCCGCATCCATTTCTTGGTGGGCGGTGTGGTTGCCTGCGCAACAAAACAGACAACATGACTAGTAGCTTGGTCGACTTTGCAGCCTCACAATGCGCTGCCCCACTCGCCGTGATAACACCATACCAGACCATCCACGACATTGGCATTGCGCGCATATCCTATCCAGACCATGCCCATGTCTATGTCCTGGTCCGTCTCGGGGCTGTACGACTCATTCGGTCCATCTTGCACGGTTTGTAGTATTGCTGATCAGCACTTGACAAACTCCAGAGCACAACCTAGCCACAAGGAGCCACGTCCAAACACAGAAATCCCACTTTGATCCCCCCATCCGCCCTGTCTTCTTTTGGACAAACACAACTCAGCCACTTGCTGTTCCTAGCACCGCCTGCATCTTTCCTTGTCTCGTCTATATGCCCGCAATTAGTCTATCCCATCGCATCATCGCATCGTCACCAACAATACTCTCCCGGATACCGAGCACCAGCCCCCAACCTGCCAAGTCGTCGTGAGCTCTTTTTAGACGGGGCTGTTACAGCTGCTGGAAATACTCTCGTCGTACGCTGATATTGTCAGCAAAAGGTCGAGGCCCCGCGTACACAGCCGCCTTGCCCATGTGCATTGAAGTCGGCACCTGGTGGACAAAATGCCGGGACTCCAGCCAGGCCACCCGGTTAGTACCAAAATCGATGACGCACCACAAAGTTAGCAACTCCAGAGCGTCATCGCACCACCATGTGAAGGTTACAATAATATTTATTTATTTTTACGCTTTTCTTCTTCATTGTATTCCAAACAAATATACATGAGCTCAAAAGAGTGATCAACGATATCAAAAAGATGCGGGCAAATAGTCCCGCTGACTGTACATACACAGCATGAAGTGCAAGCCGTTTTGGAGTCCCGAGAATTTTGTTCACCGGACGGACGGGTAGAGACAAGGGAACTCGACATCACATGTCTGGATCGTCGTCACAGCCTTACCACTAAGCCGAGCACCTTTTAATATGCAACCCGTGAAACAACGTTAATCTGTTTGTCAATGTTTCCTGTTCGGATACTGGCGGGCATCACGTGACACCACTCGGTCGCTCTTTCCACGCATGCACATGCAAGCCCTATCTAGCCATCCAATCAAAGACAAGCAGTCGAATCGTACCCTTGGGCTCCAATTGCTTCTCCTCTCTCTCTCTCTCTCTCTCTCTCCTTTGCCTTTTCACGCTTTCCACAACAGGTGCACTGTACTCCTCGCCATAACCTCCCTCTTGCACTTGAACAACTACTCCTCGCCTTCCCCGCTCCCACCCCACCACCCCGCCCATCTCTCCCTACTCTGCATAAACATTCCCTCCTCTCATACCCTCCACTACAACGGCATAAACATGTTTCCCGTTCTGTCGTCCATTTTCCTTCTACCGTCCTTCCATACGTCCATCTGCATAAACACGGTCAATTTCCACCTGACACACGCTTACCCTGCACATTGGTTGACATACCTCCACACCAACCTAATCCAGCCAATCACAGCCACCGCAATGTTTCAAACCACAGAGGCAAAAGTAACCACGCCTCTTGTTTCTCCATGTATCTGTCGCCACTTGCCATGACCTTACCCAAAACCATACTCGATCTCATTTCCTAGCGGGGCTGAGCATACAAATGAATAAAGTTCTCACCTTCCTGAGTAATCTTTCTATGGCCTGAAACTACGAAACGAAACATCAATGGGACAGGGTGTACGTAACTATGTGCAAGCAAAGCACTAGGATGTAGGGGTCGGAAGATACTCTACCATCGAGGCAAGTGCAAATATGGCCTCGGTGTTTGAAGTACAAAAAGAAAGGGAAGATAAGATATAAACTCTAGAATCGGTTCTTGAATTGCTTTTGCCTTGGTTGTCTTTCTCTACACTCGTTCACCCTCTTTCTTTTTGCCATTTCATCACCATGCCGTCTTTTAGTTTCTGGAAGAGCTCCAAGACAGAGGAGCCGGCACGTGAACCACTGCTCGCTACACATGCAACATGCGATGAAGTCGACATTCCCGATATCATCATACCAAAGAACTTGGATCTCGATCCAGGAAGAGAGGATTCAGGCGTTTTTCTTTTTGATGAATTAGATATTCAGCCACCAACGTTGTCTCCCCCGCAGATGACGACGGAAGTTGATGGTGCGTGCACAAGAGAGACGTTCGTTTCGCCGGTACCTGAAAAGGCGGCTGAACGGATCGACTCACCTTTCGAGGGTTTGGTAGAGCAATCGCCTCTTCGGTCTCGGGTCCCCGAACAATGCGTACTCAGCGAGACTGCTACCGAAGACCTTCCCATGGTTGCAGTGGACGTATCCACAATAACGCCAAAAGAAAACAGCTATAATGTCGAGCCCTCCAAAAACGACGACCATGTGCCTTCATCACATCCCATAGTCCCCACTTCATCAATGTTGTCAAAGCAGGCCGCCTCGGCCAAACCAGCCACACACCAGCGCAAAACCTCAATAGCGCGTCTCCGTAGACCTGCAGAGCTAAACCTAGCAACAAATACCACTTCATCCTCTCCATCTCAACCTTGCTCAGAGCTAGAGCAGCGCTATGCCCTGATTCGCAACTCCAAGACGCAATCCAAGGCGGCGCTACGCTCCCCCACCGCCCTGCTCGAAGAACGTCTCAACCTAGCCCCCAAGAAAACCCCAGGAAACGAGAACAAAGTCCGAATCTTCACTCCTCCGTCAACACCAGAAAATGGATGCTGGATCCCCGGTCCAGGTGCCGCCACCAGCCCCTTCACCAGCTCGTCGATACGTGCATGCACAGAAAAGACCGGACGCCCAGCATGGTGGTGCAAGTTCGACAAACTAGTCGTCTTTGACGGCATCGACCAAGATGCGTCGGGAGAAATGACGATACACACCAGGACGAGCAAGGGACTGAGCATTGCAAGGCGAAGAGGCGATCTGGAATCCATTGTGATCCCGCTAGATTGCAGTCACTGCCAGGAAATGCTGAACAGGCATGAGTGGAAGTACGACATGCGCGTCTGCAAAAGGAGCGTATGCTGGGACTGCAAAGAGAGGTGTAAGTGGGAGGCTGAAGAGGAGAAGAGAGTGAAGAGTGTACAGAAAACTGCTAAAGCGGAGGGTAACAGGTTCCGTGCGGATAGTGTGTTGCAAGAGTAGTTGTTGTATGAAAATATATCAGAAGAAGAAGAAGAAATACATACCCCCCCAAATCACCTTGAGCATTTTTCCCAAGTAAACTGCTTTGAACATGAATATAAAAAAACTCTAGGATATCATACAACACATACCCCTTCCCCTCCCCCTCTAATCCAAGTCCATGGCATCCCCCATATATTCATACGGCACATCCTCGACCTCCATGCCCTCTGCCTCAAACAACCTCTCAAACTCCCGACTCGTCACCCCCTTCCCATCATCGCCCTGAAACCCCATTGCCACCCCCCTCGCCTCCTCGCACCCGGCCAAAATCCCCCTCAACATGCCCTCCACGCCCAACTCCTGCAACCCCACCCTCCCCCCTTCCCCTCCTGCCTTAGAATCCGCATCCTTCCACATATTCCTACACTCCTTTGCTCTACCAAGTTGCACCCTTACCTCCCCCTCCCCGAGACACTTCTTAAACGGACCGTCAGGATCATCCAGGGCCTCGAGGAGATTAGCATGGAAGGCGTGATCCGCCATTGGCCGTGTGTGGCGTAGGGAAGGATTCGTTTCGTAGCGCAGATAATTGAAATTGTGGCGCTGCTGCTGCTGTTCCGGGGATAGAGAGGAGGAGATGGATATGCCGAATAAGGAGAATAAAGAAAGCATGTAGCGTTCGAGTAAGGTGTAGAATTCGAAAAAGTCGAGTTGGAACATTGACGGTGTTTGGATGGTTTGGTGTTGCAGGAGATCGAGGGTGCGCAGGTAGGAGAGCATGAGGAGTTCGGCTTTCCACTGCAGACGGAGTAAGAGGCGGTTGATGCGGTCTTTGTCTTTTTTGAGCTTTTCGGATTTTGACTCGGCGAGTTTTTCCGCGGGGGTTTTGGGTGCGTATTTGGAGTTGTTCATGGTGGCTGGTGCAGATTTGGATAGGGATGTGGAGATATCCCAGCACGTGGTGGTGGTGGTGATGGTGATGGTGGGGCGTTCTGGGGTCGAGCTGTACCTATAGCGCTGCGAGTTGCGAGTTGTTTGGTACCTTTTCAAGCTTATATGCAGTGATGAGGTAGATCCTTGGGGAAATGTGTATGTATCCAATCAAGCATTGTATGTCATAAACGTAGAAGTTGGCGTGTGTTGTTAAGTACCGGCGTTGTAAAGTTATTCGCGCCGAGACGCTTCCTTTGAGACTGACTCAGCGCATCCTTTCACGCCACATACTAACCGAGGGGTGTCATAAATGAGGTTATTTCCTAATCGGGTATCACTCGTGAATGTTCGAAGCTTCTACGCTGTTTCAGGACTGATAGACACCTTCACTGTGTTGAGGAGTGGTAGCGTGTGGCTGCCTGTAACCGATTCCTAAAGTAGCCTAGGTCCCACCTTCTACTAGCGGGCCGATAGATGGAGCATACGCATGTAGAAATATAGAAAATTGATAAAATCAAGCAGACTAACATCGTTCAATGCTAATTGTTCAAAAGAAGAGCACGTAGTTCTGATACGAACAGATTCAGATGGATGTCTCATGCTGAAAACCTTATGGTTTAAATATGTGACCACATTGTTCCAGAATATGCGGCATAAGCACAAACTTACAGCAACTCACATAGATGAAAACCCCAAACTTTGTTCAACCTGCTACTGCCAAATACCAGTAGGACATTTAGAATGCGAAATTGCCAGGTCTACAGATAGATGATGATGTGTGCATCATGGAGAGCAAGTTAGGCCGGGCTAATTACCTTACTAACGCATATGTTAGTATTGTTTGAAAGTAAGAAGTTAGCGGACGGGGTCCAGATTCAATGAGCACCAGATTAGGATGTGGATGGGGAAGAACAACGAGCTATTATTTGCAGTTTTCGAGAGGGAATGAGAGGGTCGGACACGACGCTGCCGCGCTGGAAATGAGATTAGAGGTTCACAGGATGCTGAATGATCGGTAGGGTCACCCGCCCTATGGGATCTGGGTATTTGTGATACGTTGACATGTGTTCTTGACATGCTTGTAAATTGACACCTGTACGTATGAGCAGTTGTTGCAGTATGGAATTAAACAATGTTCATTAACAGGACCAAGAATGTATTAAGAGGTCCCGGTCCATCAATCGTGGTATGCAAAGCGTCGTCTACAAGCTAGACACATTTCGGACATGACACTTGGAGAATTTTTCAAGAGGCCGACGCAATAGCAAACATACATTGAACTTCTGAAAACATGGATATCGTGATCATCTATTCAAACGCAAGATAGCAACCAGACGACATGCTACATTACACCGAATTTTCTATCTCATCATCATATCAGGAACGAATCCCAATAGCGGCATCGATTCCAATACCATGCTCAAAAGCTTAAAAGGTACCAACAACCTTCTTCACTGTCCTCCGCATACCCTCACCTGTGATTTGCACAGCTCCCTCCAGCTCCGCGCTTCGCAACACCTCTAAGAACTCCTGGTTTTCTACTTGTTCGCTCGCGCCTTCTCGGACACTCTTCATAAGATCGCTCAATCGCACGCTCTGGCCAGCAGAACCAAGCTCATCAAGCGAAGCCAAGACTGCACGCTTGAGGTCCTCCTTTCTGCGCCGATCACTGGTCGAAGTACCTTCTGTGAGGAGCGACATATCGATCAATCCAGTGCGTGCATCAGTAGCCGCCTGCTTGAGCGCCGACTTGATCAGACGGACGGCTTCGTGGACGTCGTCAGCTGTGACCTCCTCAGAAAGACGCATCTTGGCATGGGCTTCCGAGAGTCGAATCATCGACTCCAGTTGACGTGTAGTTGCTGTAATTCTTCGTTCTTGCGAGCGGACATCGGCACCCAGTCCACGCATAGCAACATATGCATCTACTAGCGCTTTCGATGCAGGCTCGGTGATCTTGGGGTGGATGTTGGAGCGCGCGTAAGAGATGTAAGCAGTCAAGAACTCAATTGGCAAGACCTCGTTCTTTGCAGCATTCTCAGGCGTGTCTTCAAGGTACATTCCAACCAAATGGCGGGCCATGCGACGATCGTTCTGCTCATCGATACGGTCCAAGACAAGGTAAACGAGATCGAAACGCGAAAGTAGGGTTGGGGGGAGATCAATGTTCTGTGGGACCGGAAGGTTGACGTTGTACTTGGAGCCGATGGGATTGGCAGATGCCAAGATGGAAGTACGCGCGTTGAGGGTGGTGATAATGCCGGCTTTGGCAATGGAAACAGTCTGCTGCTCCATGACTTCGTGCAGAACAGATCGGGTAGCTTCTGACATCTTGTCGAACTCGTCAATACAGCAAACACCACCGTCAGACAACACCAGGGCTCCCGATTCGAGCACCAACTGTCGAGTCTCAGGGTCTCGAGTAACGTATGCAGTCAAACCGACAGCTGATGATCCCTTTCCAGATGTGTACACGCCACGCGGTGCGATCCTGTGAACATACTGCAGAATTTGGGACTTGGCGGTGGATGGATCACCACAGAGCAGAACGTTGATGTCGCCACGGTACTTTGGACTACCACCCTTTTCGAATTGCTTGTTGGTACCGCCAAAGAGCTGAAGTAAAATTCCCTTCTTAACGTCCTCCATCTCGTAGATGCTAGGAGCGAGAGACCGAGAAAGTAGCTCGTACACATCAGGACGAGCACCAGTAGCTTTGATCTTTTCTTCCTCCTCTTCAGTGACTTTGCGTGTTTCTTCCAAATCACCAGCCGCATGCTCTGCGAGCTCTTCTTCAATTGTCGATACATCAATACCCAAGCGTTTCTTGTCGACTTTTTGGATATGCAGCGCATCGACATATGTCTTAAAGATGTTTTTGACTGATCGTTGTCGTGGATTGATGCGGACCTGGTTGCATTTGAAGATACCAGTAATCTCTACGCGGTCACCAGCTTTGCAGACATCAACCAGTTCATCGTATGCACACAGGGATACTGAATGTGGTGTTTGACCATCGGGCATATCATCTGGGGTCTCTTGTAGCTTGATGACCTGCTTATTGGCAAACCCGGAGCGGTTGTGCACGATTTGCATCGAGTTGGGCGACTCGCACACCGCACGTGGGCATTTGGTGGGCTCGGTAATCTTACCACGGTCAATGTCCACCCTGACAGTATGGTTACACACAGAGCAACGGAAGAAGGCTAGTGATGTTAGCTATGCGTGAAGCGTTTTCATCATTCAACTTACCATCTTTCATATCAGGAATGATAGGGGTGGTCCTAATGACCAGACCCTTGACACTGACAAGTTTGTCCATGTCACCAGGGTTCAGCTCGCGCAGATTGATGGTCTTGTCCAGACCAAATGGCCTTACATTGTAGGTCTTTTGGTCCACTTCGCTAACCAGATTGGGAATCTCTGGGAATGGAGCAGGGGACGGAGCACCAGGAGTAGGTGCATCGGAACCTATCATTGGAGGTAGAGAACTGGAGTCACGGCCTCTAGGCTGAGCACCACGTTGCTGTTGCGAGAGTTGAGTCCGCATCTCCGCCATTCGCTTCTCAGCAAGTTCGAGCATAGTATCCTTTATGGCAACATCCATGATTGGGATAATTTCGTTGGGATACGCCTGCAACTGGTGCCAAAGTTTCCTCGTTGGTGGGTAGGCCTTGAGGTTGCGGGCATCCAAGTTCAATGGCGTGACACCAAGCTCAAGCATCATCTTCATGATATCAACGTACTCCCGAGCCATACCTGGGTGGTTCGGAGGAAGATTCATGCCTTCTTCCAGCTCGCCATCCTGAATCATGCGATACTTCTTTTGAAAGTTCATAAGGAAGTCCCTCATTGCATGACGGGCATCCACCAGAGACACATTGGTTCCCCAAATGACTCGTGAAGAGTTCCCACCCAACACATCGGCATCAGAAGTATCTGGGTTGATATTGGAAAACGTCGCTGCATCTGAGGCGTCCTGAACAGGCATGCCATTCTCGTCGACGAATAGTCTGCGACGGCGATTGGTAGAACTAGTTCCAAAAACATCCGAGTGGATATCATTGCGTCGACTACGTGCTGCAGACTCTGAGCCACGGACGAAGAGGGCGCTACTGCTGCTACCCGGAATATTGCTCTGGGCATTGCGGGCTCGACCAGGGCTAGAGCTGGAAGCGTAGTGGATAGGTGATGAGTCTGTATATGTTAGTCATGTCACTGAGGAATTGTCTGCTTTCCATACCTCCAATGTTCATGGCCGACGCCTTTGGTGTTGCACCACCATCACTCTCGTCAGCCCCATTTGCAGGGGCAGGCGAGGATTGGAAGAAAAGAGGCGATTGAGTCGAAGTCGTCTGAAACCGAGCATTCCTTGGAGTGGCTTGAGGTCCACGCTGTGAAGCTTGTGTCGCCTCAGATTGGAGTTGCTCGTCCGGACCTACTGGTGCTGGACTCGATTGCATCTGAGAATTTTGGCCGCGAGCGCTTCTCCTTGGGGTCGCCGAGGCCGACGTGCGCTGAGAGCGACGCTGGGGTGGGGAAGACATTGCTGGAGTGCTCTATGCGGCAGCCAGGGTGAATGTGTTGATGTTGTACTTAGAGGGGTTGCCAGGGAGGTGGAGTTTATCGCGCCCACTCCTCCTGTGGACGCGTGGGACGCGTTCTGGTCTAGTCTGTAAAGGGACGGTTAAGTGGTCTTGGCATTACAGATGTCTACCCAGCTGCACACACATGAGAGATTTCATGCAGGGGAGCGGGTTTATGAAAGGATGTAATATCCAATTCTTTGTACTGCTGTCAGGGGATTGCCGTCTTAGTGTTGGTACATGTCGAGACCAGTCTGTAGACAAGGCCAGTGGGGCAGTTTAGCCCCGCGGCCAAACGAACATTTCCAAGCAGGCAACAACCAAAGCCAGTAAACATACAAAAGCCGGGTTCCTTGTAGCTGATATCAATCCCTCCTGTTTCTACACACGCAT